GCTCTCTCTCTCTCTCTCTCTCTCTCTCTCTCTCTCTCTCTCTCTCTGCGCTCTTCTGAGGCATTTAAAGCAAACAGTAGGAGAAGGGCGAGGGCTGATGAAACGGACATGAGCGAGTGACATCATACAGACGGACACGCTGCGTCTGTGAGAGACAGGGCTTCACAAACATTTCATGTCAGAGATATTAATGTGCATTTCTCTTATTCGAGAATGTAGCCAAAGCAATTGAGGAAAACTGTAAGATATCCCAGAATGCTCTTTCAATGTTTGCACAGATCTGGTTTGTGTTAATGTGGCGGCGTGTGTTTGTGTTGCAGGTGAACACACGTATAAGTGCGTCTCGTGTCTGTTCTCCACCATGACCATCATCCAGCTGAAGGAGCACTCGCTGCAGGAGCACGGAGAGACGCTCACGCTGCCCAAACTCAGAGCCGGAGCCACGCTGCGCTCCACACGACCCAACACTGAACACAGCGACCAGAACACGGCCCTCGACCCACAATGCACCGGTAAGACCCCAACACTGGGGTTAAAGGTCAATGCAGAAACTTCCTGATGCTGAAAATGACATGCATGGGAAATATGATTGTTCATTTAGTGAAAAACACGGTGAAAACAAACCAATTCTTTAGTATATGACTTCTTGCATTAAACATTTTGAATATAATTAGGAAAAATTATATATTATATATTGGCGTGAGAATGAAAAATATTGTTTATATAAACTATTGTTCAAACGTTTGAAGTCAGTAAGGTTTTTCATTATTATTATTAATTAGTGTTTTTATTTAACAAGGACACATTCAATTGATCAAAAGTCAAAGTCAGGACATTTGTAATGTTACAAAAGATTTCTATTTAAAATAAATGCTGTTCTTCTGAACTTTCTATTCATCTGTGAATCCTGAAAAAGAAAATGCATGACGGTTTCCACAAAAATATTAATGTTTTCAACATTGATAATAATCAGAAATGTTTCTTGAGCAGCAAGTCAGCATATTATTATGATTTCTGAAGATCATGTGACACTGAAGACTGGAGTAATGATGCTGAAAATTCAGCTGCGCATCACAGAAATACATTACAGTTTAACACATTCACATAGAAAACACATTTTAAATTGTAATAAAATTACACAATTTTACAGTTTTTCTGTATTTTTATTAAAATATATATAATATCAAATATATAAATATGTTTGTAAAAAAATATATTTTTACATTTAGAATGAGCGACACGTGGCCACATCACATTCGCTCAACATGTAATTTATTGTGCTAAAACAAGGGTTAAAATTACTGGTTAGATTCAGCTTTAAAGGTGACATATCATGAAAATCTGACTTTTCCTTTGATTTTGCAAGCGACAACGGTGTACTAGTTCTAATGCCATGGAGGAAGTTTGAGCAAAGCATGCTAACGGTTCTGTGTTTGGCTGCACAGACGAGCACAGAACACTGTTTACAGTCCCAGCCTCAGAGGAGACAACAGAGCAGTGCATGTATTTTGAGCTGAAACTTCACAGACACATTCTGGGGACACCAGAGACTTATATTGTAAAAAGGGGCATAATATATCTCCTTTAAAAGAAAAAAACCATGCGACTGAAACACGCACAAGTGCACATGTGTCGGTATGAGCCGAGGCAGATGTTAATAGCAGGTGTAAGCGCCTTCTAGACGCTGATGTCTTTGTCTCGCTGCTGTCATCTCAGAGTCTGCGGGATATCTGGAGCCAGCAGATGTTCAGCAGCAGTTGAGTCACTTCCAGCTGGCGTCTCGGGTCCAGGCTGATGTTTCCTCCAGTCCGCCACCGCCACTCGAGAGTCCCGTTCCTCAGGCCCGGCCCGACTCCATCCTCACCTGTGAGTTCTGCGAGTTCAGCTCCGGCTACATGCAGAGTCTGCGCAGACATTACCGCGACCGGCACGGAGGAAAGAAGCTCTTCAAATGCAAGGACTGCTCCTTCTTCACCTGCTACAAGTAAGAACAGCGTGAGCCGCCAGAGAATCACATATCAGACTATATCAGCCAGTATCATCTTTATTTATTTACATTCAGGCATTTGGCAGACACTTTTATTCAGAGCGACTTGCATTGCATTCAAGCTATACATATGATTAGTTCATGCTTTCCCTGGGAATTGAACCCATGACCCTGTCAGTGCGAGCACGCTACTGTTTCAGCTACAGGTGTTTATCATGAGCCGTCTGGTTAAGCTGTTAAAAGAGTAAGATCAGGGCGTATTTACTCCAGCAACCGGTTTACTAAATACTAAACAGTCATCCACCTTCTGCTACACCTTATCATGTTTTAAATACAGTATGTCAAATACTAGAGGTCTAGATCAGTGATTCACAGAGTTTTTCATCAGCCGAACAACTTTGGACTGAAATGTTTACTTAAGATAATATTAATTTAACAACACATTCACATGTTCACGGTTCTCTGATGTCGGTTAATAGTCACATGACACAGGAAAACTATTTTTAATGTAATTGTTTTATTTTATTTTTTATTTAAATATTTTATTTATTTGATTAGATTTTCATCAGCTCATTTTGAAAAAAAAATATTTTAATTTTACATTATATTACATTATACAATTATTTTTAGTGTTTTGTTTTATTTTAATTTTAAGTGTTTTTTCTGATTGCATTACAATATTTACATTATGATTTGATTATTTGCTTTTAATCAACTCATTTTGATTTAATTTGAAATTTCTTTGAATTTCACATTTTTTATCATTTATCTTTTCATCTTTTAATTTGTTTTTATTTTGACATTCATTTTCATTTATATTTTTATTTAAATAATTGTTAGCTTTTCATCTGCTCTTTTTTATTTGTTTGACATTATTTTAATTTTACAATTTTATGATTTAATTAATTGTTAGCTTTTCATCAACCCATGAACCCCACTTTCGGAAACATTAGTCTAGAGTTTGGTAGTTCTAGATTGGACACTTAACAGGCAAAACAAAATAGATTTGTTATATTAGAAGTTATATAAGTTATCAGCTTCCGCAAAACAAAATCTATATAATATAGTTATGAAAATATCCATGTGGCTGAATCTCTAGGCTTACATGTCAGAGTAGTTATCATGTGAGTGAATGTGTTTTTTGTTGTGTGTTGCTCAGGTCCACGTTCACGCTGCATGTGGAGGGCGGTCACACCAGCGGCCCCGAGGAGACGCCCAAAGATCTGCGCTGCCCCTTCTGTCTGTACCACACCAAACACAAGAGCAGCATGATCGACCACATCGTCCTGCACAGAGGTCAGTTACTGAGAAAAACTGACCAGAACAAAAACTTGACTTGTTTTTAAAGATTTATTGGACACAAGTATGGAGGAGGCAAGTCTGATCATGAGATATTTCTTCTCTTTATCTTCCTTGTTTCAACTTCCTCAATCGAATGGTTGCTGTTTTTCTTTTTGTAGCACATGCTATTGGTGGAATGTAACTATCCACCTTATTTTTCAATGCAGAAGTAGGCTATTTCCTGTGAATGTGTGATACTTTTGATTCATTAGTTGCTATTGGTAAATGCTGTAATACCATTTGAGCAACAAACCTGTGTGGTTATGATTACGATAATAAAGTAAAATAATATAATGCCAAATATCAGTTTGTAACACCAAGCAGCATAACGGACTGGTTTTGTACAGCTACAATAACTGGAAGCGAATGACACTGTAAATTTTGCACATTCAGTTTAAAACCTGTGCTCGCTACTATGTTAAGAATAAGGTGGATATTTGGTGTGTAGTTTAAGTTTCATTATTTTTAGACTTAAAACTTCAGAAGATGTGGGTCAGTTGGAGGCCATACTCCAAAAACTCATTAATGTGACATGAATCAGAGTCTGATGATATTGGAAAAACATTTTTATCGTGTTCTGAGGAATAAAATGTTGTATAAATCAATGTGAATGATATATGAACAAACCCCTCAGTAAAAGCCTTCAGAATATAGATGGAAATAAAACTGTAAAGTTTGGTGTATGTAAGTGCTGCTGAAGTGGAGAAAGAAACTCACAACCTTTAAAAATATGCATTTTCGCCATGTTTTTTGGAATAAAATGTTGTCAAAATCTTTGTGAATGATATATGAACAAACCCTTCAGTAAAAACCTTCAGAATATAGATAGGAATAAAACTGTAAAGTTTGGTGTATGGAAGTGCTGCTGAAGTGGAGAAACAAACTCAGGGCCTTTAAAAATATGCATTTTCGCCATGTTTTTATAAATAAAATGTCCTATAAATCAGCGTGAATGATGTATGAACAAACCCCTCAGTAAAAATCTTAAGAATATAGAGAGGAATAAAATTGTAAAGGTTGGTGTATGTAAGTGCTTGTGAAGTGGAGAAACAAACTCACAACATTTAAAAATATGCATTTTCGTCATGTTTTTAGGAATAAAATGTTGTAAAATTCAGTGTGAGTGATATATGAATAAATCCCTCAGTAAAAACCTTCAGAATATAGATCGGAATAAAACTGTAAAGTGGAGAAACAAACGTTTAAAATATGTATTGTAATTGAAATTTACAGACGCAAATAGAAAAAGTGCAAAAAACAACGACTTAAATGTGTCTTTTGGATGTTTTCTTTCCAGTAGTCTGAAAGAAGACATGCTATGGAAGCAAAATAGGCCAAAATCTCAAAATCGACCAGTTCTTGAAGAAACAATGGGTCTTGACCTTAAACCTTTTTTTTTTCTCCAAATATCCAAATTAGCAGTATATTATTAAATATGCAAAAATATGTGAAGATGTAGGTCAGTTGGTCATTTAAGGCTACACTTCAAAAGTGCATTAACGTGACATGCATCAGAGTGTGATTGTGTTGTTTTTATGGTTCTCAGAGGAGCGCGTGGTCCCGCTGGAGGTGTCTCGCTCGAAGCTGTCTCGTCATCTGGAGGGCCTGGTGTTCCGCTGTCACAAATGCACCTTCACCTGCTCCAGCGAGCCGAACCTGCAGCAGCACATCCAGAAACACGAGGAGCTGAAGCCCTATCAGTGTCAGCTCTGCTACTACGACAGCAAACTCCTGCACAAGCTGGAGATCCACCTGCGCCAGGAGCACAAGGTCTGTCTTCTGTCATGTCTGATCTTTCTGTGGCTTGTTCAGGAGCCGGTTACTCAGTCTAACCCGTCGTCTGCAGGTGATCCGTAACTTTGAGCTGGTGGGGCGGGTGAACCTGGACCAGCTGGAGCTGATGAAGGACAAGACGAAGGACGTGAGCAGCAGTGAGGAGGAGGAGAGAGGAGAAGAAGACGAGACTGAAGAGGAGGAGGAGGTGGAGGAAGAGCTGATGGAGGAGGAAGATGAGGAGGAGACGAGCAGCCAGACGGAGGTGACAGGTAACAGTATTCATGTTCATCTGTAGAGATTATCAACAACAGATGCAAAACTCGAGACTTTATTATTAGTCTTCTACAAAACATTTTTATAAAAATAGCAGGAATAGCAATTCACCACTTGTCAAAAAAACTAAATTTTGTTGTATTATGACTTTTTTATATTAAGGCAAGACACCACAGGTGATATCACCATACTTTAACCAATTGATCAATCAGAGTACATTAAGACAATTGATTTATATTGCAAGGTTTTTTTAAATGTAGCTTAAATAGCAAATGCAGCTTTGCATAAATTACCAGAAAAAAAATCTGAACATTGGATAAAGTCAGGTTCAAAACTCTTTTTTGTTTTTCTTGACATATTAAAGGTTATTTTAGAGGGGATTTTGGATTTCTCTTTTTGTCACTCCATAAATCAGAAAATACTGTCAACAGACAGAAAACAAACACATTTTCACCATGTTTTTTGGAATAAAATGTTGCATCAATCAGTGTGAATGAAATATAAACAAACGCCTCAGTAAAATTTTAGAATATAGATAGAAATAAAACTGCTAAGTTTGGTGTATCTAAGAGAAAAAACTCTTTAAAGATATGGATTGGAATTGAAATCTACAGACACAAATAGATAAAGTGTAATAAACACTAAAATGTGTATTTTGGATGTTTACTTTTCACTAGTCTGAAAGAAGACATGTTATGGAAGCAAAATCTCAATCTCAAAATTAGCCAGTGCATGAGCTAACAATGATATTGGAAATATCCAAATTAGCATTATCTTATTAAATATGCATAAATATTAGCATATTGCAACAAAAGTGTTATAGACTGAACAGAAAACGTGTTTTTAGAGGTTTTAAATTCACGATCATTTTCCATTTATCTCAATAATACTGAAATTACATTGCAATGTACTGTAGATAAAAGCATCTGCCAGATGTAAAACAGCTGTTGAAAGATGCTGATTTTCCAAAAATGACATTTTTATCAATCTTTTGCGCTGTTTTTGTTGTATTTCCTGGTGATGCAGGTGTTGAGGAGTCTCCCAGCGGCAGCGGCGTCAAACGCTATCCGTGTGAGTTCTGCGGCCGCACCTTCACACTCGGCTCCGAATGGGAGCGACACGTCCTTCGACACGGCATGTGAGTCTCCAGATCACTGAGAATAACTTAACCCTTACAAAATCTTACCATGGTAGTGTATGAGCTAAATCTGAGGCGTGTTTCATGATTTCAGGACTGTTAATGGCAGCAAGAGAGACGGCAGTCCTGTGCCCTCGTCAGCGCTGCCTCTGATTGGTCCAGCAGCTGTGATTGACAGAGGGCTGGACCTATCCAGTAACACTGTGGATCAGTCTGACCAATCCAAGTGTCCGATTCAGACCGAAGAAGACAAAGAGACGCAAGAGACCAAAAACGACCCTTAGGAGCAAAACGAAAGCTGTAGAGAATGTCATGCGTTCCATTGTTTCGTCTGTCTGTTCACCGTTTGTTTTGTTGCAGAACAACATCGGCTGCTTCTTAAGTATTTGGTTTAAAAAGCTAGATTTGTGGAATGTGATGATCCCGGTTTGGAGTCTCGCTAGATGTTGATGTGTCGCGTTTGTTCAGTTGCTGAATCTTACACTGAATTTTACAAAGTGTGACTTGGTCCCTCAGGACAGATGTTGATATATTGGTAACCAATAGTGAATGAAACTGTGAGTCGAGATTCCGATCGAATCACGAGTCCCTCCGTTCAGAGATTTTCATTTCCTCGATGCACTTTTCGTTACATTCATTCATACGTAATGAATGAAGCGTGAGAATCGAATGTCTTCCGCGGCGGCGATCGCACACGCTGATAGTCTTGAAGACGGCGTGTCGTGATTCACGTCCGTTTCAAACGAGAGACAATTCATCCGGAAGCTTCTCGGATTCGCTCGGAACGTCGCCTGACAGTTTCTGTTTTTTACATTTTATCCTTGTGTTAATCTGCCTGTAGCTGAATTCCTTGAGGAATAGTTGTCATCTTATTTATGTAGATCGTTTGATTCTTTTAGACATGATTTTAGAGTATCAACACTTGCCCCAAAAACTCGTAGCAAATTGCTACTTTTGAAGATTTCGGCCACTTCCGGCTCGTCTTGCACTTCCGCTTCACTTTAATAACGATTAACGTGTTGGGCATCAATGGATCGCAGTCACGTGTTTCTGCCGGTCTCAGGTAGATCTGCTGCCGATTGGACGATTCTGACAGTCTGTTTAAAGGAATATTCTGGGTTCAGAACACACTCACAATCATATTTAGGCCTAAATTTAAGATTTATGTTTTTGAATTGCAGTTTTAACATAAACTAATAAACTTAATGTGATGCATATTTGTCTGTCATACATCAGTGAAACAGGCCAGAATTCTGCATCACTGTTATTTTCTATCATTTATAGTTCATTGACATTTAGATTTTTTTTTTTATGTTCCTTTTTCATTTTATATTTTAAAGTTATAATAATTTGATTTTCTGTTTTGTCATTTTTATTAGTTATTGATTATGTCTATATATTCTATATATTTTCATTTTAGTCAGGTTAAACTAAATGAATATGAAACTACCTGAAATTTTATATA